TAATACAATAGAAAAAGCATTTCAGAAGCGCCATCACCTGCAAGTCCACCAGCTGTCACTCAATTCAAGACCTTTGAGTTCTGAGCCATCTAATACTCACACGTTGTCTTCTAGGCAGATCTTGGGCCCCACGACGTTGGCAGCTCCACTGGCCATTTTAAAAGCAAAATGCTTCTCAGGGCATGCTTTTGAGATTCCACATTTGTACCTGGGAGGCTTCGTAGCTACGGGGAGAACAGAGATAGGTTTGAGATTCTTCAGAAAATCAATTAATAGGATTTCATAATCAGTTTGCTTGAGATCTCAAATAATACACACAAATATATATGTATATTAATATTAACTGTATCATAAAGGAACACTTAGTTAGGGGCTGGAGGGACAACTCGGTGATTAGGAGCACTGGCTGCTTTTCCAGAGGACCCAGCACCCACACGGGGCTCATAATCATCTGTAACTGTAGTTCCAAGGGATCAGATACCCTCTTCCAGACTCCTTGAGCACAACATATGTGGTGCATACATACATGCAGGCAAAGCATCATACATATGAAAAAATAATTTAAAAAGAAGGATATACATATTTAAAAATATAAAATTTATTTCAATCTTCTAGAACTTTTTCCCCTAAGGGTATAAAAAAACCAAGCAAGGAAGAAAGGCAGGTAAGTCCCCCAAAATAAAAAGTTATAAGAACACAACTCAGCCCTCGTGAAGAATGAGCCGACTACTGAGAGAAATGAACTGATCATGCCATATGATCTTGCTGAGCGAGGCAGATCTGATTTAATTATTCCTGAAGTTATCTTTACATTTCTGGGTGCCTGGGGTTTTTTAATTGCTCCTTTGCATGTCTAGTGCATCAAAACCAAGATCAATAAAGTCCAGTCCTCCCATTCATCCAGGTGAAGGGGCAGCTGCCTCTCCTATCGGCTCTCACTGGCTGTACTCACACAAGGCTGCAACCCAACACAAAGCCAACACCCACTGACGACGAAGCACCTGCGACACTAGGCCGTCCAATGAAAGGGCAGCTGCACAGTTTTCAAACTCGACTTCTCCCTCAGGCTTTGTTCACACGAACTGCCCACACTGCTCGCACATAAGCTCTCCCAGGGCCACACACAGGATAAAACACTTATAAGACACCAAGGTGAGAGACTTACAGCGAGTGGCTGAGTCCAGCGCAGATCGAGCTAAAAGAGAAAGACAGCATCATTAGAAAGCACAGGCCCATTGGCAACTACCTACTTCAAACACAGTAAGGCGTCTAATAAGTCAAGGAAGTAGTGTTTGGACGACTGCTCATAAACAGTAAGTACCAGTATTGCTCCAGAGAAGCAGTACCTCTCTACTAATTCATTATGGACAAGTGTGTGTTGAAATCACGAAGAGTAGCGTGTTATTACTCAAAGATCATTCTAAACTATTTATTTATTTTGGGTTTGGGTTTTTGTTTGTTTGTTTTGTTTTGGTGGAGAGGGGTGAGACAGGGTTTTTCTATGTAGTCCTGGCTGTCCTGGAACACATATTGTGGACCAGGCTGGCCTTGAACTCACAGGGATCCACCTGCCTCTGCCTCCCCTGTGCTGGCATTAAATGTATATGTCATCACCACCTGGTTCATTTTAAATTTCATGTTTTGTTTAATTATTTACTACAAATTTAAATCCTACTCAGAAAGTTAGTCTGAAAACGCACCTTTAAAAGACTACTAACTGGTACTGGTGAACAAAATGGTATTTAAATGCTGCTAGTGCTGCTGCTGCTGCTGGGCCGGGCTGGGCAGGGCTCGGCTGGGCACCCCCACAGTCCTGGAGAATGTGCATAAATCTATCTTGGGGTTTGGTGAAGATCTGGGCACACAAGAAGAGGGGGAGGGGGAATGTTGGGGAAACCTGAATTCTCCACAACAGAAGTGCACAATAAGGGCCTAATAAAATGAATGCTGTTACTGAGAGTTTCTTATTTCATCAAGGAAGGGAAAAGGTCAACTCATAACGCCCACAGTGGCTCTCCACTGTCCTCCATCACAATTACACTTAGTTCTCAGTAAATGCACCCGTGTCTGATCTCAGTCCAAGAGATCTGAACACACATCATCCAAGTGCCATGGACAGCCGGTTTCTGGTTTGGCTAATAAGTACACAGTGTGGTCGTTGTTGGCCAGCTGTCTGACTATAAATAGTCACTGAGTTTTCACTTCTGTACTGTTTTTAATAACTGTGAATTTCCTCCGAGTCCACTATTCAAATTACGGAACGGAGAGTTGAAGCTGAAGAGAGAATCTAGATGTTTAGAGAGAGATCAGTCAGCAATTCAGCACTCAACAGAACCCTTGGTAGGAGAGTATACACGGTACAAGTCCTACAGCTATAATGTAGGGAGAGTCATGCATGGAATATGGTTAAAACAGCCTCCCCCTCCCAGAACCTAAATACAGAGGTGATTCCCATGCAAAGAGGTTTGAACAAGCAAATATCAAAACAGGAGAAAAGGGGGGAGGAGAGGGGAGGAGAGAAGGGGGAGGACACAGATTCAGGCGCTGCATTTTCCCTAGTTCATTCTTCCCGTTTCCTTGTGTAATTACAGAGATTTCACCCAATGCTTCCACTTTTTTAAATGGAAAAACTAAACCCCAGAGCAGAATCAGCAACATGAAGACTAAAAATTCTCAACTTGAGTCTGTCTTTAAAAAGCAAACAGACAAGATGGCGCAGTGGGTAGGGACGTGACGCCAAGCCGGGTGGTTCCCCAGGATCTCGATAGTACAAGGAGAGAACTGACTCTCACAGGCTGTTTGTTCTCTGATCGCCATTCATGTGCCATGGCACATGTGTACCTACACTCATATACAAATACAGGCGCACGCACGCACACAAATAACTGCAATTAAGAAAAAAATTAGTTGGGCAGTGGTGGTACATGCCCTGAATCCCAGCACTCAGGAGACAGAGGCAGGAGGATCTCTGAGTATGAGACCAGCCTGGTCTACACAGCAAGTTCGAGGACAGTCAGGGATACACAGAGAAACCCTGTCTCAAAAACAAATAAACAAACAACAAAAACACTTAATAAATAAATAAATTAATTAATTAAAGGAAAGGAGGACTGTACCATCAGACTCTGGTGTTAAGATTCCTAGAAAGCAACACTGGTAAAATCGGGAACTTAGGTCTCCCTGACTGAGCTCTGCTAGGCTGATTAGAGAGCAGATAATCTGATCTATGGTAATGAGGTGTGGAGACAGTGGGAACAACACTCATTCCTACTGCTGGCTGGGTCAAGATAGTCTAGATGGTCACTGACAGGGTCATCATGTCTCAGAGATAAGGAAACCGAGGACGGAGCGTGTAATTGGTGGAGCTAGCTTCTATTTTTTAGTTTATTTTTAATTTTTCATAACATTTGTGTGTATGTGTGTGTGTGTGTGTGTGTGTGTGTGTGTGTGGTTGTGTGGATGTGTGTGTGGTTGTGTGGATGTGTGGGTGCGCATGTGCACCAAGGGACACTGCAGATCTCAAGGACAACTTACAGGACCAGTTCTCTCCTTCCACACGTGGATCCCGGGAACTGACCTGAAGTAGACAGGCTTGCAGGCGAGCATACTCACCTGCGGAGCCATCTTCCCAGTCCAGAACTGGCTTTTAAAATCATCTCATGCAGCACTCAGGCCACTTCCAGTTTTTGTTTGGTTTTGTTATTGGTTTGTGGACACAGGTTTCTCTGTGTAATAGGCTGTCGTGGAACTCACTTTGTAGATCGGGCTGCCCATGAATTTAGAGAGATCCACCTGCCTCTGCCTCCTGAATGCTGCCCACTGCCGCTGCCACTGCCGCTGCCACCGCCACCGCCGCCGCCGCCGCCGCCATCACCACCACCACCACCACCACCACCACCCGGCCCATTGTACCACTTCTAAAGAGGGACTTTGTAAGCAAAATACACCAGTCATTCCCAGAGCAGAAAGCCAGATTAGGGACCTTTTAGAATAACTCTGACCAGAGGCTCAAGTCTGAGTCTATCAACAAAGACCCTGCTGACATAATCTAGGTTTACAAGAGAAAAAAAAAAAAGGAAGCCAGTTCTGGGGGAGGAAACTCAGAGGTGTTCGCTGGATTTTTGAAAAAGTAGACAGAGTCAGAGCTAAGCACCACAGACAAGGTTTAGGTTCAGACGTGGACCAAATGCAGGGACAATGTAGAGGAAGGAGTCGGGTGCTGGCTCATCTCTAAAGTACCTGTCTTCTTCACATGAAAGTGATATCCAAACACTTTCTCTGCACTGCAGACCTTTATAACTGTGTGTGTGTGTGTGTGTGTGTGTGTGTGTGTGTGTGTGTGTGTGTGTGTGTGTGTGTACACCAGTGATGGGCTCCACCCACCATGTTTTAAGATACCTGGTGAAGATAGAGGAGGAAGAATATGGAGGTCAGCTAGAAAAAAGGCCTGGGAGTAAGACAGAAACTGGAATATGAGCAAACTGATGAGAACATCCGGGGGCACAGAATCCGAAGACATCAACCTTCAAGAACTGACCAAGACAGAAAAACCTTCAGAGCTTGGAGTGATGAGCAGCAGCAAAGGCTGGGTGCCTTTATCACACAGGGCTGGAGAGCTGACTCGGTGCTTAAGGGCACTTGTTATTGCTGCAAAGGACCCGAGTTCAACTCCCAGCACCTACAAAGTTCAAGTCCCACCACCTCCACGGACACCAGGTACAAATGAGGTACACAGAAGTACATGCAGAGCAAATACTCATCCATGTAAAAACAGTAAAAATAAAAAATGTAAAAAACAATGTTAAAGATCAAATCAGTTTGTTAAATTTCAGATGTCAAACCTGTAACTGCTATTTAACTAAAAACACAGAAATCCATTTGTTAGCCGTCAGGCTTTTGGGTAAATGTACCTCCACGGAACTTGTGTTAGCTGATGAGATGCCTCGAGGTAAAGAAACTCGCTGGAAGCACTTTTTACAAGGGAAGGTTATTTTTATCCAATACCCATCAAAACTGAAAGACTTCCCCGGGCCTGTAACTCAGACTGTGAGAACCTGGAGGCAGGCCGATGAACTATTTCTCACTGACGCGGGGTAGTGCCAAAGCATCCTGCACAAGCACAAACTGGAAACACAACACTCCCTCCTCACTGTGGGTTTCACTTCGGGCTTACTTGATAACCCTAATCTTCAATGTCTTTCGGATAATACGTCAAGGAATGGACACAAACCTGTCTGATTCATCAGACTTCAGCACATGTCCTTTAGTAAAGTCAGACTAGAGAATTTAGAACTACTTTAGACCTGAGCTTTTCATACTATCTCAAGAAATCTATGCATATACTACTTACCAAAGGCTTAAGTATCCAAGGGTAAAAATAATCAAGCCCACGACATTCACTGCAGCAATATCTACAGAGATACCCACCTGACTGTGTTCAGTTCTGTACTAGCTGAATGTCCTCGAGGAAAACTAATACTGCATGAAACCTTAGCCAGGAAGGAGACTGGCAGGCAGACTGTGTGCAAGTCTACATCCTGCCCTGCCCGTAACAATTGACATTTCCTAAGATGTTATTGATGGGTGGACCTAAGACAAGGGTGTCCAGGGTCTCTGGGTATTATTTCTTACAAACAGACTGTGATTCTGTAATTCCTTCACGATTAAATCTTGTTAAAAAAAAAAAAATGTGTCTCTGTGTGTTTGGGGGTGGGGTATGCTGGGAACTGGAATCTAGGTGTTTTAAGCACGCATCTAGCATTCTATCACTGGGCTACATCCCTATACCAAAATACTGTTTAAGGGATTAGGGTTTTTTTTAGATGTTTTTCTTTGTTTTTGTCTTTTAAATTTTATCTTATTCTTTTAAATCACAACCTATTTTGGTAATTTAAATTATTAACTGTGGGCAAATTTTCCATTCTTTCTATCTGGAAATGTCTGTTTTATTTTTTCTAAAACAATATGATATAAAAAGCCTGAGTCGCCGGGCGGTGGTGGCGCACGCCTTTAATCCCAGCACTCGGGAGGCAGAGCCAGGCGGATCTCTGTGAGTTCGAGGCCAGCCTGGGCTACCAAGTGA